TGTAGGTCTTTTGGGTATAGTCCGAGAAGGGGAATAGCTGGGTCAAATGGTGGTTCCATTCCCAGCTTTCCAAGGAATCTCCATACTGCTTTCCAAATTGGCTGCACCAATTTGCAGTCCCACCAGCAATGTATGAGTGTACCTTTTTCCCCGCATCCTCGACAGCACTTATTGTTGTTTGACTTCATAATGGCTGCCAATCTTATTGGAGTGAGATTGCATCTTAGAGTACTCTGTTTTAATTTGCATTTCTCTGATTGCTAGAAATGGTGAGCATTTTTTCATGTATTTGTTGATTGATGTATATCCTCTTCTGAGAATTTTCTGTTCAAGTCCTTGGCCCATTTGTTGATTGGGTTATTTTCTTTTTTGTTGTTTAACTTTTTGAGTTCTTTGTATATTCTAGAGATTAGAGCTGTATCTGGTGTTTGAGGGGTAAAAATTTGTTCCCAGGATGTCGGCTCCCTATTCACCTCACATATTATTTCTCTTGCTGAGAAAAAACTTTTTAGTTTGAATTCGTCCCATTTGTTGATTCTTGGTTTTAACTCTTGTGCTATAGGTGCCTTATTAAGAAATTTGGGGCCTGCCCCCACGTGATGAAGATTAGGGCCAACTTTATCTTCTATTAGATGCAGAATCTCTGGTCTGATTCCTAGCTCCTTGATCCATTTTGAGTTGACTTTTGTGCATGGTGAGAGAAAGGGATTCAATTTCCTTTTGTTGCGTATGGATTTCCAGTTCTCCCAGCACCATTTGTTGAAGATGCTATCCTTTCTCCATTGCATGGTTTTAGCACCTTTGTCTAATATAGGGTAGTTGTAATTTTGTGGATTGGTCTCTGTGTCCTCTATTTTGTACCATTAGTCTACCAGCCTGTTTTGGTGCCAGTACTGTGCTGTTTTTGTTACTATTGCTCTATAGTATGGTTTAAAATCTGGAATCGCGATACCACCAGTTTCACTCTTCCTGCTTAGAATTACTTTAGTTATTTTGGGTTTCTTTTTTTCCAGATGAAATTCATGATTGCTTTTTCTTTTTCTGCAAGGAATGTCATTGGGATTTTGATGGGAATTGCATCGAATGTGTAAAGTGCTTTTGGTAGTATGGCCATCTTAATAATATTAATTCTACCAATCCATGAGCAAGGTATATCCTTCCATCTTCTAAGGTCTTCTTCTATTTCTTTCTTCAGGGTTCTGTAGGGTTTTTTGTATAGCTCTTTCATCTCTTTTGTTAAGTTGATTCCCAGGTATATTATTTTTTTTGAGGATATTGTGAATGGAGTAGTTGTCCTCATTTCCATTTCAGAGAATTTGTCACTGATATACAGGAATGCTTTTGATTTATTGGTATTGATTTTATATCCTGCCACTTTGCTGAATTCATTTACTAGTTCTAGAAGTTTCTTGGTTGAATTTTTTGGGTCTGCTAGGTATAGGATCATGTCATCGGCAAATAGTGCTAATGTAAGTTCTTCTTTTACTATATTTATGCCTTTAATCTCTTTTGTCTAATTGCTCTGGCTAGTGTTTCAATAGCTATGTTGAATAGAAGTGGTGAGAGACGGCATCCCTGTCTTGTTCCAGATTTTAAAGGGAATGCCTTCAATTTTTCTCCATTTAGAATGATGCTGGCCTGAGGCTTAGCATATACAGCTTTTACCATGTTGAGGTAATTTCCTGTTATCCCTAATTTTTCTAGAGTTTTGAACATAAAGCGATGCTATATTTTGTCGAATGCTTTTTCAGCATCTATCGAGATGATCATATGGTTCTTATCTTTAAGTCTATTGATGTAGTGAATAACATTTATTGATTTCTGTATATTGAACCAGCCTTGCATCCCAGGGATGAATCCCACTTGGTCATGGTGCACGATCTTTTTGGTATATTTTTGTATCCAATTTGCCAGAATTTTATTGAGGATTTTGGCATCTAAATTCATCAGGGATATTGGTCTATAGTTTTCTTTCTTTGAGGTGTCTTTATCTGGTTTGGGAATCAGTGTGATATTGGCCTCATAGAATGAATTTGGAAGTACTCCTTCTTTTTCTGTCTCCTGAAATAGATTGTACAGTATTGGTATTAGTTCTTCTTTAAAGCTCTTGTAAAACTCTGCTGTATATCTGTCTGGACCATTTGCTTTACATGCGTGAGGCACTGGGTTCAATCCTTATTAGCACCATAAATAAGTAAACTAAAGGTTCATTGACAACTAAAAAAACAATTTAAAATAACAGGAATTTGAGTGGTTACTTTATGGCAAACTTCATATTAAAGAACTTTAGGAACATTTTCTTTAATTATTCTATAAGCTTTCAAAAAGAAGTCACTACCACTTCTCAAGTTTTTGGTGAAGAAGAACAAAAGAGGATGCTACTTTTCATCCAAAAAAAATAGTTCTCAAACTAATAGTTGAGTGACTGAAATCTGCCATGAATGTAGCCACCATGCTATATTACCTTCTTTCCTTTGTTTCTCCTTTAGTCTCCTTCCACCTTCTCACCTCATTCCTAGCTTATTTTCACAATTATTAAACTATCCATGAACTGGATGTGGGTTAGTTAATTACTTTAATAATGCTTTTTAGATAATTCTAATAATAAAACATCATTTAAATTATAAATAAATTGAATTTTTAGAAATCTGAGCTGCATTCAAAACCTTTTTTTTAAAAGAGGTCAAATTCTGAGAAAAAACATAAAATGCCTGCTGCCACATAATACTTTAGAATGACAGCTAACATAGACACACCCTACTTGTTTCTACTAGTTGACCTTCTCCATGCAATCCTTACTAGAACCCAAAGACATTAGAGAACAAAACATTAAAGGTAAAGTTAAACAGGCCAGGGTAGAGAAATAACAGTAAGAATATTGCCTTTCCCCAGTCAAATTTTTGCTTGATTTAAATGATCCCCTCCCCCAGAGGAAAACTTGTTTTCCTGAAAATTGATTCAGCAGATCATACATTGCTAACATCCCTAAATTTTTTCCATAGATCCATGAAAAATCTGAAGAGCTCTCTATAATAACATCAGAAAAAGACAAATTGTTTTCTGAAGTAGCTCATAAGGAGAGTAGAATTCAAGGTTTACTGGAAGAAATTGAAAAAACTAAAGATGACCTAACAACTACCCAGTTGAATTATAAAAGCACTGAGCAAGAATTTCAAGATTTTAAAACCCTTCATATAGAATGTGAGCAAAAATATAAAATGGTCCTTAAAAAGAATGAAAGAATGAATCAGGAAATAGGAAATCTTTCTAAAGAAGCAGAGAATCTTGGTTTAAGTTTGGATGCTTTGAAGACTGAGGTTAGTACAAAATGATATCCAAAGACATGATCTTCAGTCTTCTTGAGTTTGATTTCTATCTTCTACAGCAAACTCTGCTTTTACTATGTCATATTTACTTTTTCTTATTTTAAAGCTTTCTCACAAAACTCAAGAGCTTCAGCAGAAAACAACTGAGGGTCAAGAAAGGTTAAATGAAGTGGAACAACTGAAGGAACAATTAGAAAGCAGAGATTCTAGGCTGCAAGCTGTAGAAAAGGAGACAACACTGATCACTGAGAAACTTCAGAAAGCCTTAGAAGAAGTGAAAACCTTAACCCGAGAAAAAGATGACCTAAAACAACTCCAGGAGAGCCTGCAGATTGAGAGAGACCAACTCAAAAGTGATATTCAAGACACTATAAATCTGGTAAGGCTTTGAATGATTAAACTTTACAAATATTGGAGCCTCTTCAAACATGGTACAGGAGCCATCATTGATAAGACTGCTTATCTATGATTAAACGGTCACTATAAAATGGAAATTGTTTTCTGTTTCTTCAACAAGAACATAGATTCACAAGAACAGTTACGAAGTGCTCTCGAGTCTTTGAAACAACACCAAGAAACAATTAATACACTAAAAATGAAAAATTCTGAGGAAACTTCTGGGAACTCACTTTTAGAAGAAAATCTAGGAAAAACTAAAGATGAATTTCAGCAAAAGGTACAGGTTATTTAATTTCAGATTTTTCTCTTTGACATCCCAACACCAAATATGTAATGGTAATTTCAATTTTATTTGTTATTCACAATGGTAATAACTCACAGTTTTATAAGACTCTACTCTCTCTTTGAAATAACTTCCCTTACAATTTGAAAAGCAAAGGGCAAAAAAAGTATTGGTTCAAACTTTGAAGAGCTGATGTTTTCTGAGATTTGATGTATTTTAAATATCTTTAAAAGAACTTCTGAATACTAAGAAGGAGGATTGAGTATTATAACTGAAATAGTTTGCCTCAGAATTCTCTATACTAAACTTGTGTAGAGTTCAGTTTAATCTGTTACCAAAAGGATTACCTATAATTTTATACAAGGGTTTGATTTACTTTAGATTTCTACTTTCCTCATAATACCTTTAAGATATATATTATCAACAGAAATTTTTAATAATCTTTCATTATTATATTTCATTCTTTTATTTTTTAAATTTGTTCTAATTAGTTATGAATGATACTAGAGTGCACTGTGACACATCATACATAAATGGATTTCTCATTCTCTGGTTGAACATGATGTAGGATCACACCAGTCATGTAATCATGTATGTACATAGTATAATACTGTCTGATTCATTCTATTATCCTTCCTATTCCCATACCTACTCCCCTCTACCTAATCTAAAGTAACTCTGTTCCCTTGCTTATTGAGAATTAGTATCTGCATATCCTGAAAAACACTTCATCTTTGGTTTTTTGGAACTGGCTTATTCCATTTAGCAACCAAAATATTTTTTTTTCCAGAGGGAAGACAAGAAATAAATTTTATTAATTAACAGCATATACTCTATCAATGTAGAAGATTGGACTTAAGAGAGCTGACAATAAAATTACAGATGTAGGGCTCACATAGGGCAGTATAAAATGATCAAGAGCAAAATCAGCAGCCATTAGAAGGTAAAGGGGAACAAAGTCTGAGATAATTTCCAAAATCAAATATTTTTTTTTCCAATAAAATAATATTTTATTTTTTTTATTTTTTATTGGTTGTTGAAAACATTATAATACTCTTAACATATCATATTTTATACATTTGATTCAAGTGGGTTATGAATTCCCATTTTTACCATGTGTACAGATTGCAGGATCACATTGGTTACACATCCACGTTTATACATACTGCCATTCTAGTGTCTGTTTGTATTTTACTGCCTTTCCTATCCCCTTCCTATCCTCCCTCTTGTCCCCTCCCTTCCCATCTTCTCTCTCTACCCCATCTATTGTAATTCATTTCTCTCCTTTCCCTTCTCAGACTATTCCCCAAAGACCTAAAAAGAGCATACTATAGGGGTACAGCTACATGGATGTTCATAGCAGCATAATTGACAATAGCTAGACTGTGGAACCAACCTAGATGCCCTTCAGTAGATGAATAGATATTTTAAAATGTGGCATTTATACACAATGTAATATTACTCAGCACTAAAAAAATAACAAAATCATGGCATTTGCAGGAAAATGGATAGCATTAGAGCAGATTAAACAGGGACGAGAGGTAGGAGGGAAAGGGAGAGAGAAGGGGGAATTACATGGAAATGGAAGGATACCCTGATTGTTATACAAAATTACATATAAGAGGTGAGGGGAAAGGGGGGGGAAAAAGCAAGCAAAATATTAACTACTGTAGTCTTCAAGTGTTCTTTGTAAAAGTTCTTATTTCAACCAGTATTCTATTCTCAAGTAGATTTTTAATTTTGATGTACTCAAATTTATCTATATTTACTTTTGCTTCCTGTGCTTTATGGTATCATGTTCATGTTGGAATTAACAATATAATAATGAGTAGGTCTGGGGATTCCCAGGGGCACTCTGTTTACCTGGGAACCAGAAGGCTGCTGTGATAGGTCTATCATAAATCCACTTAAGGAGTCATTTTCAATTCTGTTTGTGTCTCTTTCTGGAAATCTAGCTTTCTTTAGTTGATCTCAATAGAAATTTTAAATTTTGCAATTAGTGAACTTCATCTCATATAAATGACATTTTTTTAAATAATTAGGTCTATTAGATTGTACTTACAACCAACCATAGTAGCTGAAATACTTTCTAGAGTGAGTTCAGATTTGAAATGTACTTTGAGTATCATTACAAAGACTATTTCAGTCTGCTTTGTATTCTTTTACAGACCATATGAATTAAACGTAATAGCTATGTGATTAGAGATATTATAGAAACTTGTAGAGTGTGGTCAATATGAAGCTGAATGGTTCCCTAATTTCATACAAACAATTGTAGTGTCAGTCTTTGTTTTCCTTTACCAAAAAGTTCATTAGGTTACATTTGGTTATGACTTATTTATGCATTAATAAATTATTATAACATGCAGAATGTAAAAACACATTGAGAAAAGATGTATTACACTTTTACAAAAAGAGATGAGCTTCTATCAAAATTTTATTCTCTGCTTATAATAAAACTTATGATTTTTGTAAGTAAACAGTTCTGAAAAAAATGAAGCTTTACTAGAAGTAGGAGCTATAGATGACTCAGATGGGGAAAATAAAGGGATTAAGTTTAAAGTTGCTTCTTCCTTCTTTAGAAGAAAAAATACTTCTAGTGTGAAAGTTATGCAATATTTATGGAAGATATATAGAAAGGAAAGGGATTTGTCTTTTAATTTTATAATTGGTTTGAAGTAAATGAATATACATAAATCAGGTTAAAATATCATACGTGAAAATAATTGTAATATTTATAGTTGTCCAGATAGTTCTCATCAGTGAACAGGTCAAAATTCACAAGCTCTGGAGCCAGACCTTTGAGTCTGGCTATTCCTCTCTCTGTATCACCTTGAGTAAGTGACTTTACCCCTCTATAATCCAACTTTCTCATCAGTCAAATGCAGAAATTAATAATATCTACCTCAAAGTTGTAGTAAAAGTTAAATGTGTTAAAATATGAGAGCAATGCCTGGTACATAATAATACATGATAGGTGTTTGTTTAATGTTAAAGTGATTGTTATTGACTACTTAAGAAATTCTTCTTTAAAACTGTGGTATATAGGGGCTGGGTTTGTGGCTCAGTGTTAGAGCACTCGCCTACCATGTGCAAGTCTCTGGGTTCAATCCTCAGCACAACGTAAAAATAAATAAATAAAATAAAGGTTTAAAAAACCTGTGGTATATATACACAATGTAATATTTATTATTCAACCTTAAAGAAAAATGAAATTATGGCATTTGCTGCTAAATGGATGGAACTGGAGAATATTATGCTAAGCCAAATAAGTCAATCCAAAGAACCAAGAGCCAAATGTTTTCTCTGATATGTGGATGCTAATTCACAATGGGGAGAGGAGGGGGATAGAGATATTTTGGACCAGAAAGAGGGGAGTGAAGGGAGGGGAAGAGGCATGGGGGTAAAAATGATAATAGAATGAATAGGGCATTAGTACCGTAAGTGCATATATGATTACACGACCTGTATAACTACATCATGTACAACCAGACAAATGAGAAGTTATGCTCCATTTATGTATGATTTGTCAAAATACATTCTACTGGGCTGAGGATGTGGCTCAAGTGGTAGCCCGCTCGCCTGGCATGCGTGCGGCCCGGTTTTGATCCTCAGCACCACATACAAAGATGTTGTGTCCGCCAAAAACTAAACAATAAATATTAAAATTTTCTCTCTCTCTCCTAAAAAAAAAAAAAAATACATTCTACTGTCATGTATAACTAATAAGAACAAATTTAAAAAATCTTTAATGTATTTCTATTTTAGGTAGGAGACATAAATAAGAAACAGAATTTGGAAGCTAAAACAAGCCAGGCATTAATTGGAGACCTTAAGGATAGTGATGTGACTGAGCAACAGAAAATGATCTGTTCTTTAATACAGGAAAAAAATGAACTCCAACAAATGTTGGAAAGTATTACAGCAGAAAAGGAACAACTAAAGACTGACCTAAAGGAAAATATTGAAATGGTAAGATTTAGCACTATAAACTTGGTGATAACATTTTTGTCTTTGTTTTAGATTTTTATCAATTTAATTGAGATATATTCTACAAGCGCTATATGTATCTCATGGAAGTATACAGTTCGGTGACTTTTGACAAATGTTTCTGCCTGTGTACTCACTAAATGGAGTTTCTGGGACATAGGGAAATGTATATTAGCTTGATTAGAATTTGCTAGACTGATTTCCAGATGAGTTTTACCATTTTACGTTCATATCAGCAAATTGACAAAATTCTGATGGCTCCACATCCTTCCTCACCAACACTTCATATTTACTGGTGCTTTTAATTTTATCCACTCTAATGAATATATGTCGTGTTGTTTTGATTTGCTTTTCCCTAATGACTAAAGATGCTGAACACTTTTTCATATACTAACTGGCTTTTAGATATCTTCTATAATTTATCTATCTCTTAATACAGTGTTACAGGTTTTTAGTCTACAATCCTTTTACTTATTTCATTAAATTTGATCCTAAGTATTTCTCTTACTGTTGTAATTTTTTACCTTTATTTTTAATTGTTGGCATTTGCCAGTATCTTCACACCTAGTTTAGTTTTTGTGTCTTTGTTTGGAGGAAGTATAATCTGTACAGGTTGAATTGATAATTGGAGAAATTCTCTATAGATCGCAGTAGGGATCTGTGTTTTCTAATTTTTCATGTTTCTTGGAAAAGTCTGCTCTGTCAAAATTGCTAAATATAAATAAGCATAAATTAAATAAACAAAAATTACATTCTAACTCTGGCATGTTGTTTTGTGGTCTTGATACATGAGAATGCCACTGTGCAAGCTTAATGACAAGTCAGCCTTCATAGTGCTACAAAGGGCAGCTACCATTTTGAGTTTGCTGATGATAGTGCTCAAAACCAAAGCTAATGCTTCATGTGAAAAACTCAGTCAGTGAACACTTAGCAGTCTTTTTGAGTTTAGGCACAGAAAATGAGATAAACTTTCTTGATTGAATGGTAAATCCAATTCTAATTCTCATAGGAATATAAACTGAGCAATAATAATTGAATATAAAAAAGCAGATTCTCTATGATTAAAGATTTACATGATTAAAGATTCGCTTTCTTTTAAATTCATTTTTACTATATAGTTTTACTATATAGTTTCTTCATTTATAGTCTGAGGTAAATGCCGATTTTTACCTGGTTTCATAAATGTAAGCTAATATTATTTGTTTTAATCCCAACTTCTTGTTTTATTCTAGACCATTAAAAACCAGGAAGAATTAAGAATTCTTGAAGATGAACTTAAAAAGCAACAAGAGATAGTTGCACAAGAAAAGAACCACGTCATGAAGAAAGACAAAGAGCTTTCTAAGACCTGTGAGAGACTGGCAGAAGTTGAAGAAAAGCTAAAGGAAAAGGTAAATTTTTTTTAAGTTATCTTCCTAGCCATTTTTTTTTGATTAAACATTTTTGATAATAGTTTTTGATTCCCATAGCCTAAATGCAAGAATAGCACATTATATTTGCAAAAGAACAGATCTTTATTCTGGTATTTTGAAGTTTCAATTCACAGAATCTTAACTAACATTTCTTGTCAGGTTACATTATTCCAGAGTCTTTAGGTGAGAAGGGACCTTGATCTTTTAAACTAATCATCTGATGTAGTCATCAGTCAAATACTTGTTGAACACTATATGGGCCAGGCATCATCCTGGGCACTTAAGAGACATTAGTCAACAAAACAAAGATCCTCCCCATATGAAGATATATTTATTGTTCTTTAAAATGAAAGGCTTAATACTATCACCATCACTAAGATGTTTGTAGTTTCCCAAATCACTCCTTTCCTGGAGGTAGGATGGTGCAATGCATGTATAAAACCCAAGGCTCCTGTAACAACCATACTGTCCAAGTGATTCTGAAATACAACCACAGAGGTCTATTTAAGCTAAGAGCAGTGCCACTTGCATTATAGATAATATGCTGTGGTTTCTGTTGTTCTATTGTGTAGTATTTTTTTCCTAATCTATATTTTCTTTTAAGCCAAATCCCTTTCCCTTTCCCTATCTCGTCTGATTGAATTTGTTAAAAAACCTTATGTCTAATTTACTCCTCCTAAGGAAGTGAAGTCAACAGCCTTGGAAGTTAATGCCTCTGAATTTGTTTTAGGCCACTCCTTCTTACTTAAAATTGAAAATAAGGTGCTGAGGTTGTGATTCAGTGGCTTGCCTAGCATGTGTAAGGTACTGGGTTTGATTCTCAGCACCACATATAAATAAATAAATAAAATAAAAGTCCATTGACAGCTAAAAATTTAAATGAAAATAAATTTTAAAAGTTTTTTAAGATAAAGGAGAATTATTTATTTGGTGCCTATATTTAAATGCTTAGTATCTGTGCCTTTCAACTTTATTTTTACATTTTTACTTTATCGTCTTGATCAGCCTATATCAGTTTCCTAGGGATGGCATATGAAATTACCATAACCTTGGTGGCTTACAGCAACAGAAATTTATTCTATTGTAGAATATATCCAGAGCAAGTGTTGACATTCTGAAGTAGCTTAAAGGGTGAAGACTGGGAAGCCTTATAAAGGTTAAGGAGGACTTTTACTTCTTACCTTCTATCTTACTATAGCATTTTAATTGTGTTACTCTTGATATTTTTTCTTCCTCTAATAATAAAGGACTTAGAGAAACAAGAGGAACTAAGAATCGCTCACATGGATCTGAAAGAGCACCAAGAAACTATTGATAAACTCCAAAGAACTGTTTCTGAAAAAAATGATGAAATATTAAATATGCAAATGAACTTAGAAAATGCAAAGACTGCCATAAAAGCACAGGTATTTTCTTTTAAGTTGTTATTTGAGTAACTAGGAGTTCAAATCAGGTCTTTTGTATAATGAAACAGGACATGAATTAGCCTAAAATTGAAGACAAGATTTATCTACTCAACTTTGAAGCTATTATTTGGGTTTTTATTTATATCTTCAATATCCTAACTTATTGCCTGATTATCTCAAGATCCAAGAACTTCGAGAGAAAGAACATCAACTTCTTAAAGTAAAAAATGACCTGAAGGAAAATGTGTATGAAACAGAGCAACTGAAGAAACAACTGGAAGCTCAGAACTCAGCTCTGGAGAGTTTAGAATTAGAGAAGTTAATGTTGACTCAGAAAATAAATGAGAGCCTTGAAAAACTGAAACTTTTTACTGAGGAAAATGATGGCCTAAGAATTGTGGAGGAAACTCTCAAAGTGGAACGAGACAAGCTGAGGGAAAACCTTAGAGAAACAGAAGCAAAAGTAAGTTACACTCATTCTTCTTGCTAGCAAATAAATGTTTTCTTAGAGCAATGAACCTTCTTTGAAACAAGTGGTATTGTTGGCAAGAGCGACATGATAATCTTTTAAGCAGGTAATTTTGTATTCTTTTTCTTAAAAACTTTAAGTTATATAACCAGCATTTTCTTCATAGATTTTATCCTACATGTATACTGACTCAATTACTTAAATAAATATATACACACAAACATACGTACACATATGTACACCACAACACCACAAGGTTGTTCATTGTAGTAGTTTGTAATAAAAGTGGGAAACAATTTAAATGTTCCTCCTAAGGAAACTGGGTAAATATGAGCCATATATCAAAATCCTGTTCAGCCCTACAAAAAGTGAAACGGATTTTAACATCCTATTTGGAAGTCCAAGATAAACCTGAAGTGGAGGAATCCAGCTGTTAAGTAGTATGTGTAATGTGTTTACTTCTAAAAGAGGAGTAGAGTGTGGAGGGATAAGGACAGTAAGAGAAAGTCTTTAACTTTTGTAACAACAATGATGTAAATTAAGAAGTAAATGCATTATTATTTTTACTAAGAAAATATATCACTTCACTAAAAAAAAAAAAAAAAAAGAAGTTAACAATAAGATATGACCTTGTTCTTAAAAGGATCTGAAAAAGCAAGAAGAACTAAGAATTGCTCACATGGATCTAAACGAGCACCAAGAAACTATTAATAAACTCAGAGGAATTGTTTCTGAGAAGACAGATGAAATGGCAAATATGAAAATAGATTTAGAAAATTCAAATGCCAGATTATAAGAAAAGATATTTTGTGGGGGGTTTTGATTGAATGTCTGATTTGTTGTGTTTGAAATCTTCAGAATATGAGATGGATGGGCCATATTCAGAAACAGCTTGTCAGTATTTACTAAATGCCATAAGACCCATATTAGGTTATCTACCTAATAGAAAAGACTAAATAACATCTCTAAAAAGATATTTACAAGAATGTCTGTAGCAGCTTTATCCAAAATGGTGGGGAACTTGAAAACAAATACCTATTATCAGGAGAATACACTCTTAGGAAGGTTCAAAAGTAGGTAAAACTGATCAAGTATGATAAAGATCCCAATAGCAGTTACCTTTAAGGAAGGGGTTCACAGGCTCTTTAGGGAATGCCAGAAATATTCTCTGACTTGATATGGATTGTAGTTTTATAGGTGTATGCATGTATCAAGAATAAATGGAACTATAAACATGATTATAGGGTGCTTTTTGTATATTGTACCTCAAAAGAAAATTAATTTTGTGTGGGTTTATGCAGGGTGTTAATGATTATAAAAAGGGGGGCTATCGTCTTAATTAACTTAGAGACTATTCCTTGTCCTTCCCTAAAAATCTGTAACCTAACATTATATTATGATTTTCTTAAGATTCAAAAGCTTAAGGGAAATGAACAGAAACTTTTTAAATTAAAAGAAGATGTCAGTGAGATACAGAAACAACTCAAGGATCAAGGTTTAACTCTGGGTAATTTGGCTCAGAATCTTCAAGATAACTTCGAAGAAATGAAATCTGTAATGAAAGAGAGAGATAATATAAGACGATCAGAGGAGATGCTCAAGCTGGAGAGAGACCAACTCAAGGAAAACCTGCAGGATACCATTGCTAAAGTGAGTTGTGCACATTCTTCCTGTCCAGTAAGCATATCCGTAAGGCAGAACCTCCCTTCTTTGAAGATAGATGATACTGTTGGTGAAATTTTATCATTATAAACATTGATATAGCAATTCCACTTATATAGATTTATCATATCAACATATTCACACATTGGAATAAAAATATAACAGCATTCACTGCAGCATGGTTTGGGGTGATCAAAATCTAAAGGCAATTCAAGTGTTCACCCATAAGGCACTGGCCGAGGGGTTCGTCTTATAATGAAATACTAAGCCTAGGAAAGAGCACCTTTTGTGTGATACTGATTAGAAAGTATGTTATACTGTTTGGATAATAGGAAAGGAGAAAAGCAAGTGGTACAGGTCAGCAAGGAACAGGACTAAGGTGAGGGAGGTTAGAGACAGGAATTTGTACCTTAAATCTTTCTGTGTACTTCGAATTTGGGGGATGGCAGATTGGTTGTTTTTAACTAAATATGCATTTTTTTCAAATTTCGTTTAATGATTAAGAAAAGATAATGTTTCTTTATGTCATCACATTTCTCTTTTTTCTAATAAAGGATCTGGAGACACAACAGGAACTAAAACTTATTCATATGTATTTGAAAGAACAACAACAAACTATTGAGAAATTCAGAGAGAAAGTTTCAGGAAAGACAACTCAAATTATAAATATTCAAAAAGATTTAGATAAATCAAAAGATGAATTACAGAAAAAGGTATGTTTTTTGTGGGGTTTTTTAGGAAGTAACTGTATCCAAAATTACTTGAGAAATGAGAAAATATAGATATATTGAGCATCCCTAATCCAAAAATCTGAAATCCAGAATGCTCTGAAATCTATACTTTGAGCACTGATGTAAGCCTCAAAGTTTTCAGATTTTGAATTTTCAAATTAGGGATTCTCAACTGGTAGCAACTATGCAAATATTTCAAAATCAGAAACACTTCAGATGAGGGATACATAACTTGTATAAATGTACAAATGTAACAAGTAGATACTATTTTCCTTCTATGAAGGAATTCTGTTTGCATTCTAATTTATTTTGTAATTATCTCAAGATCCAAGAACTTCAGGAAAAAGAGCTTCAACTTCTTAAAATGAATAAAGATGTCAATAAAAGTGATAAAAAAATGAATGAAATGGAACATTTGAAGAGGCAAATTGAGGCCCAAAATGTATCTGTGAAAACTGTGGATATGGATAACTTGTGCTCTACTAAGAAACTTCATGAAAATCTTGAAGAAATAAGAACTGTAGCTAAAGAAAGCAATGAGCTAAGGAGGAAAAAGGAGTGTCTCAAAATGGAAAGAGACCAGTTCAGAGAAATCATAAGAAAAATGATAGCTAGAGTGAGTTCTAGTAACTGTAAGAATCAAGCTTTATAAAGGGGTGCCAATATGGGTGTTTTTTCCTTAGAATTTTCTTATTTTTGATACTGGGGATTGAACTTAGAGGCACTAGACCACTGAGCCACATCTCCAGCCCTATTTTGTATTTTGAGACAGAGTCTCACGGAGTTGTTCAGTGCCTCACTGAGGTGCTGAGGCTGGCTTTGAATTCATAATCCTCTTGCCTCAGCCTTCCCAGCTGCTGAGATTATAGACGTGTGCCACCGTGCCTGGCTTTTTCTTAGAATTTTCAATGAATACTAAAGATAGTGGGAAAACTTACTATAATTTTCATATCAGTAGGAAACACATTTTTAAAAGGGGCCAAATTTTTTTTCAGGAAAACATCACTTTTCATTTTTAAGAAAAAGTTTACAGCAAAATATTCTTAGTAATATAATTTCTAAAGTTTTGTTTAATAAAAAATAGTATTATTCTAAATAGAGAAATATCTGAAGGGATAGATTTATAAAAGATTAAATATTCCACTTCTGTACCTCTTAATAGGAATCTTGAAATGGTCCATAACTGCTGGTTAGAAGGAAAAAAGAGAAGATGAACATTACAAAGTTTTTCTAGTATGATTATTTGTAGATATATATAATATAATTTTAAAAGCCAACTGAATGCTCTACAAAATAAAGTAGAAAAAATATCATTTGCAATCTTAGCAGAAATATCAGATGCTTAGGAATCATCTATATATGAGCCATAACTAAATTTATAGAATTTTAATCCGTTAGACAAATACTTATTCAACAGGTAGTCATGCTTCTGGGTACTGTAATGATAACAATAAACAAGTAGGCAAAAAATAATTTTTTGTTTTGTACTTTTTAATGAGAAATGTGGAATATAAATAAGATCTGAATTTTCAGTTCCCAGTTACGAGAAAGAATATGTGAATAGTGTTTGCGACACTTTGGATAGTGGCTTTGCTAGTATGTTTAGTTGGCAGCAATAATTTTAAATACAGAGATTCAGTTTAAGGAACCAAAAGAAATTCTAAAACCTCATTTTCAACTATGAATAACAAATCCCATCTCCAAATAATAAGTATATGATTATACATTATATGTGAATAGTTATGTCTGATTGTTTCTCTGTACCAGGATCATCAGAACCACAAAGAGATCATAAAATATGAAAGAAGTTCACTGTGTGATGGAGAAGAGCACAATACAGAAAGCCTGAGAGAAAAGTGCTTCAGGATAAAAGTAAGTGTTCCCTACAAATGCATGTCGGTACTCTTCCAAAGGCTTCCTGAAGCCTAAGATGGAATTTAGATACTTGTGTAGGATGAGTAGGTAATGCCTGGTACTTTTCTAAACATTATAACCTAGTATAGGTATGCATATGTACACCCACCTATGTACATATATAAACAAAACAATCGGAGTTTGTGGTTTTTTTAAGGCCTCGAGTGTATACATGAAAGAGGCCAAGGATTAAATTGTGCAGGTATTTGAGACAAGCACGAAGTAGATGGAGGGAATAATGAACAAAGCTCCTGAGGCAGCCAGCCTGTCTGGTGGGTTCGAGTAACACCAAGAATGAGAAAAGCTAGTGAGAAGTAAGGTCAGAATTGATGGGGTTTGAGTTCACTCAAATTTCTCTTCAGACTTTCCCAGTACTCGTTCAAATCATGAATATTCAAAAGACTAAATGAGAATGCATCAAAATTAAAACAATGGTTATTTCCGGGTTTGTTATATTGGCCAACTTGTAAAAAATTTTCATTATAATCATATATTATTTCTATAATCCCAAATCAATAATGTTTCCATTTGTTTAAATGTCTTGATTGATTTCTTTCTTGTAGAAAGTGTTAAAATATAAGTGTTCTTACAGTTTTACTAGTGGGGCTATTTATTGTTAAATCAAATGAATTTTAATTTCAGGAGCTGCTTCAGAGATACTCAGAGATGGATAATCATTACGAGTACTTGAATAAATTGTCTTTTGACTTAGAGAAGGAAATTGAAACCCAAAAAGATCTTTCAATTAGAGTAAAAGCAAACCTCTTACTTCCATACCCACAAACAAAGCAGATCCAAAAACTTTTTGCTGCAAACCAGAGATGTTCCATGGAATTCCATAGAGTCATAAAGAAACTAAAGGTACCAGTATCTTATTAATACTGCTCTAAATTTCAGTTATAAATTTTAATGTACTTAAGTACTGTTTTAGGAGTTGGCATATTTGCTATTTAGTATACTTATTAAATTTAAATATTGTATAGGTCTGAGAACAGTAAGTTTAGGATTTTTAGTGTTTCTAGTATCTACTCATTCAATAAAAACTGAGCTTTGCCTTTGTGCCTATATACTGTCCAGGTACTCAGAAGACAGATGAGTCATATCAAAGATCTCTTAATCTGGTAAGGCAGACATATAAAAAGGTAATGAGTGCAGTGATAGAGGTATATACAGGTTGTATGACATGTCACATGTAAGAATTTACAGAAGATTAGACTATGGTGGAAGCCAAATTCAAGCAATAAATTTTGGAGTTTGTTTTGTAGAAGACAGACAGCCAAAAGATAGTTAAAGTAGCAGTAGTAACAGATGAGATTAACATTTAGGTACTTCATTGCAGGAAAAAAAGCATGAATTTGAGGGAGATAAGCTTAGAAGAAGAGAGAAATAAGGGGCAATTACAATGGTCCAGATGAGATAATATGTGTTATTATACTAGGGAAAGTTAAATAGGGACTGAGAAGAGATTGAAGAAGCATTTAGCAGCTTGAAATGGTATGTCCAGGTGATTTATAATGGAAATAGGGAGAGAAGTTTGGATGGAGTTCCAAGATTTGTGATTATCCATGTGTGTAAGATAGGATTAACTGAGAAAAGGAAGAGAATCAGGTATGTGATGCTGGAGAGATCAGGTGTTTAGTTTAGATGTTTCAAGGTTAGAATACCTATGAGACATCTAAGAAGAGAAACCATGTAGGCATTTAACTGTGAGTCTGAGGTTTGGCAGGATAAAAGTCAGGAGATTTGGGACTCATCAGCATATAGGTGACAAGAAGTACATAAAGGTCATCTAGAGACCATTAAAAAATCACCTAGACATAACCATTTCAAGCTGCTAAATGCTTCTTCAATCTCTTCTCAGAAGAATAAAAGCTTTGGAAGAAGACAAGAACCCAGAAAAAGATAAATGTCCAAAAGAGACAGTAATAGAAGGGTGTAACATGTATGTTCAGGTATGAAAAAATCAAAAATTCAGGAAAGAAGCAAACAAAAGTGCTGTCCCTCAAGTCAGTGGAGTGGAGCTCCTCAAAGTGGCCAAGAGTGGCAGATTTTATGAAACAAAGGTGTCCCCTCAATTCAATGATAATAGATTTCTTGGTGACCATTGCCAGAGTAATTTTAGTCAAGCGGTTAGGGAAGACACCAGATTATGAGAGGTTAAGGAATTAACAAGTAGGTATCTTTCCTGCCTAGTTAGATGTCTGCCCCTTTAGGTTCTGAAAATCCTTCCACAAATCTTGACAAACAGATATCTAGAACTTATTTGTATGACCCATGAATATATGATATTGAAGCTTAAATGTCTAATGATTCTCAACAAGGAAATCTTGAGGCTTAAAAGACCTTTTTATTGGTTATCCAAGCAAGGTGGGCAGAAGAGGATTTACTTAGATGTTAACTGGGAATCCTTGGTGATTGGCAATTTAACTAACCAAAAAAGGGGCAACAGAAAAAGCAGGATATATACATAAAGAGACCATGTAACATTCTAAATATTTAATTTAAGGTATTTATAAGACACCCTTAGTAGGAGGTCAAAAATATGGAAGTAGAGGTCTGGAAGTTACTCTCCCATGATTCTAAAAAGAGAAATTTGGAGATAGAAGATGGCTCCTCCCTTATTTACTTATCAGAGAATATAAATAAACAAGGTACACCTTCTCACCTCAGTCTCAAAGGTTTGAAACTTACTCTAAACATGAAAAAAATTAATTTTCTGATTTATTTCATTTTTTTCTACAAGTATGTGTTAAGCTATATTACAAAGATGAAAGAAGAACAACATGAATCCATCAATAAATTTGAAATAGCTTTTATTGATGAAGTGGAAAAGCAAAATGAACTCCAAATTAAAATACAACACCTTCAACAGGATTATGACATACCATCCAAAGAATTAAGGCACTCCAAACTGAACCAGAGTTTGGATCTACATATTGAGGTATAATTTATTTTAAATAGAATTAATTAGCCTTGTTATCATGTAGAAAAGTACTTTTGCATGTGCTTAAAACTATTTGTTTTTATTTACCAGAAATTAAAAATAGGTTGAAGAATAATAACTAGCCAAACATAAAAACTGCCAAATAATGGACTAGCCTCCTTTCAGACCTCCATAGGCACAGAAAAACAGATTTAACTTTAGTAAATAGGAATCCATGGAATCCTAGAATAGAATAAAGTTTTTGGTTAGAATTATATTTTTTAGATTATTTTTTTGTTGTTGTTGTTCTTTTCTTTCTTTTTCTTTTGGTACCTGGGATGGAGCCCAGAGGCACTTAACCACTCAGCCACATTCCCAGCTCTCTTTAGTTTTTTATTTTGAGATAGGATCTCACTAAGTTGCTGAGGATCTAGCTAAGTTGCTGAAGCTGGCTTTGAGCCTCCCAAGTTGCTGGGACTGCAGGTGTGCACCACAACACCCAGCCTTAGATTACTTTAAAATATTAAGAAGAATCCATGTTTTCCCCTTTTATAATATTCTTATATTTCATATGATATTTGGATAAAATTTTCCTAATGTTCAGGTGCTAAAGTGCATGTTTCTTACACAGGAAATTCTCAAAGATTTCTCAGAAAATGACTTCCCCAGCATAAAGACTGAATTACAAGTATTTAGTAACAGGAAAAAAATGACTCAGGTTTTGGAAGAGTGGTTAAGTACTCCTTTTAATATAGAAGAACTTAAAAATAGCATCCAGAAAGAAAATGATAGCATTTGTCAAGTGAATTACTTCTACCATAATAAAATAACTGTAAGTATTAATTTTTATTATGCTACCTCATTCTGTTTGCTTTTTCTAACTCATTTCTCAGAGGGCTTAGAGTAAATTAATTTTAAGTATGTTTTCTTTAATTTATTTGCATACATTATGAAAAAAGTTGATTTTGTAAAATGTGTTCTTCCTCTAACATATTATGCTTCTTAAGATAATTAAATGTCAATTTATACTTATAAAGGTGACCCAACCTTGTGTATAGTATTCAGTTTTCACTCCTGAAATTTGAACTCCACAGCTTTTCTACTCTTCTCTCCCCTTCTCTTTCTCACTTTCAGTAGGAATTGAACCTTTCTCCAAGTAGCTTCAGCCGAGGTGAGGCCTGAGTCAGTTTCAGGGCTGCAGGCAGCTGTTGTGGTAAAGCCATAGACTAGTTGGCTGGCTGCTTCAGCAGGGCCTCGGGACTTCATGAACTTTACTCCTGCTTGTCTCAGAATTATACATGCTGATTCTGAACTTTGAGGATCAAAAATGTGTCTATTTTTTGTATTAATAAACTTTATTTTTTTAGGCTGGTTTTAATTTTATAACAAAATGAAGCAGAAATTCCTGGGAGTTTTTAATGTTAAAGAGTTAGCTTGTTAGTTATTTCTTTCAGAGATCATGACTTTGAAGTTGTTTCTAAAAGGTTATCACCAAGCTCAAGGTTATCAAGGTTTCTCCCATGTTATCTTCTGGGATTTTAAAGTTTCATACTTTATATTTAATTCTGTGTTCCATTGTGAGTTACTTTTTATAAAGCTTGTAAGGTCTGTGTCTAGATTCACTTTCTTGCTTGTGGATGTCCCTTTGCTCCAGCACCATTTATTGAAAAGACCATATTTGCTCTATTTATGGCTTTTGCTCTTTTGTCAAAAATGAGTTGACTATAGGTCTATTTCTGTGACCTAACTGCATTGATAGATCTAGTCAGAGTTTTGATTTTTCAGTTCTGCTTTCTGTTGTTATGATGGACTGGTAACTTCTGAATTCTTGACGAGCTGGACCAGAATCTGCAAAATCGAGATTTTTATGTTTATTCCCTTCATGATCAGTCCCAATGTACTGATTCATAAGAACCAACAACAGGTTGTTAATTTGTTTTACTTTTCAGTAATTATTATATTCATAGTGCTCATTGGTATAATCTCTTCCTTACATAATTGGTAAGATATATAGTATCAAAAGCACTTCTTGTATGTGTGAAATTAGAGCAAAAAGAATAGATTAATATGGTAGCTTCCAAGATTGGTTTTGTGTTTCATATGTTTGAATAGTTCTTTTTTGATACTTTAATTTCATCTGGAGACTATATTTAAATCACATTGAAAGAAGGGATGAAAAAATGTTTTCCACCGGTAGTTCCTCCTATTTGTAGAATAACCAGAACGAACAAAACAGTAATAGGCTATTTCAAACATACTTGATCACAATCAATGGAGAAAGGCACAAAACAAAATAATATCTCTATAATTCAAAGCTTTTCTTATAATATTGAGGTATCAGCTGTAAGTAGCTTAGAAAGTAGGGATTGCTGCTGTGTCAGCATGAATATGGCTTCTTCTAGCACCCTGAGGGTAGGAGTCAATAACTTTGTACGATGCAAAGTCAGTAAACCAGAGCCAAAGAGTCCAGGATATCAGAAAGAACACAACTAACTTAAGATCCCGTCCTAGCAGAATGACCATAAAACCACAAAGAAGTTATAGAGGAGACCAATAAGACATTCTTGATAAGAGCAAAAAGTATATCCCATAGGAATTAGGAAGTGTTTATTATATGATTAATTTTAGAATTAGCCTTCATTGTAAAAAAGAGTATTGATGACATGTTATTCTCTGCACAGAAATGAAAGATATCCATATTAATTACCAACGGCCAGTTATTTTCCCTAAAAATACTGAAGTTTAAAATGAAGCAGGAAAATAGATAACTGTTAAGTTTATTAGGAGTGTTCTGCTGTTAGATGGCACTTAATAGCTCATCATCAACCATAACATCTATAATGATTTTAATCTGCATAATTGGTAAGATATATAGTATCAAAAGACTTCTTGTATGTGTGAAATTAGAGCAAAAAAAAACTAGATTAATATTGTAGCTTCTCTTCATGTGCTAGTACAGATCCAATAAAGCTGGGATTATCTTACTCTCATAATCAACATCCAATGTCTATAATTTCAAAAAATTTGTGCAAATCACAAAGAATGTTCATTCTTTAAAAGCATTGTTCTAGGGTGTTGGGCCTTCTAAATAATGAATTTCAGCATATGCATTGTACTAGAATTCTAGTGCTTGAATATATAAATCATTTTAGAGCTGTAATGTTTTACTGTTCAATAGGGTATAATAAATGAATCAACAGAGTTCGAGGAAAGAAGTGTAACCCGATCAAAAGAATGGGAACATGACCTGAAATCAATAATAGAGAAAAATAAAAAACTGTTTGAAGACTACCAAACTTTGACAGTCTCCCCAATATCTGGTGCCCAGGCTAATCCTATTGTACAAGACAATAAAAATCCTCATGTTACATCAAGAGCTGTACAACCAACAGAGGTATGCAATTTCTTATAAGTTATTCTTTAATTTTTAGCTTCATTCTGGAGTCTAGAGCAAAATCATAGTATTGACTACATTTATTAAGGAATATGAACACAATATTTTGTGTGTGTGATGAGCTAGATATTTATATATAGTTCTGGATATCACTCAGCTAAATAATTTTAAGTCTAGAAATTATAAAGATTTACCCTTTGTATCATAAAACAGAGGTAAATCAAAGCTTAATTTGAATACTAAATTCATATACTATAATTTAAGTGATTACCCATTTAAATTTTTATTACTATATATTATAAACTTCCTAAATCATTTGACTTTATACTAAACTATAATCTGTCTATATGCAAAACCAATATAAGCTTAGAGAAAAATAACAATTTAGCTTTTTTCTAATTATCATTTCTTTTAATATTGGTTAATATTTCAGTCACAATAAAAAGGGAAGAGGCTAAAATTATAACAGAATAATTATACATATCAACTTGTGTCTAAGAGTCAGTAGATTATTTGAATAATCTGTTACATTATTACTTAACCTTAGGAGTTGTTAAACATTAGAAAACATGCTACCTTATTTTATTAACACACAAATGATTTAGTGGGGATTCTATGAGTAAATTACAATTTATCATTTTTACTTGTAATGAAATGTCAGCCACTACTTTAATAATTAATTACCAGTGGAAACTAGAAGATCACTAGTTTGCAGTTTTTTGATTTGGTGATCTTAAGAGAACTATCATCTGATAGACATAGAATAGAGCAAAGATAAAACCCATTTACCAAAGCAATAATTTAAAGAAGCAGAAAGAAATTCTGTCTTTGGTGACCCAAGAAAACACTCTAATGGATAAGAAACCATATGCTATTATAATTAGACTACTTTGACAATTATGCAGGAGTATACAAGTATAGCGGTGGAACAGAACTGAGTTCAGAAGCCCATTCCATTAAGCCTTAAGAATTTTATATATATACACACACACACACACACACACACACACACACACACACACGCGCACACAATTATGGTAATGTTCAACTCTACAGGGAAAAATTGTTTACTTATAATTTGAAACAACGAACTAGTCATCTGGAAAAGAAATAAGACTCACTAAACAAAAAATAAATTCTAGGTGGACCATAAAGCAACAGACATTTCAGAGACAGAAAAAAATGTGTGTACATGTGAATAATCTGATAAACATGAAAAAAAATTCAGGTATTTAAGTTTATCCTAAGATAATTTATACTTGTGAAAAACTGGAAATAACCTCAATCTTCATTTGTGGTGACTGAATAAATAACTTATGATATTTCCATGAAATCGGATGCTATGTATCCATAAAAACAAAAATGGAAGACATTTATATATATTGATAATAGAAAGATCAAAAAAATACTGGTTTAAAAACAGAACTTTATGTTTAGTATATAGTGTATGAGTAACTATTTTTATAAACTATATTCACATGTGCTTAGATGCTTAGAGAAAATTCCTGGGAAAGTACACTTGAAAAGTTTAGCAGTCATTGCCTCAGAATCAACTGGGATCTGAGGTGGAAACTACCTTTTCATCATGTACCTTTGAATTTTCCCCGTGTTTACCTTTTTCAATTTCAAAACTAATTAACAAAAGTAAAGGAAAAGGTATTATGTACATTACTTAGAAAATCAGTTAACAAATATATTTTTGATAGTGTTAATTTAAAATGAGTGCTTCTTTAATGTGCTTAGCACTCAACTAACCAGTAAATAACATCAACACTGTGCTGTTTTCACATTTATGGTTTAAGAATTTGTTGACAGATTATATGATTTAAATTTTTGTCATTTTTAAATCCAAAAATCAGTTACTTCCAAATGAAAGCAATACATGTCTATAGATTGAGTGATATTTGGCCTCTCTTCTTTCCTTTATGAATGCAGTTCATGAAAAATTATCAATACATAAATATAATCTTTTGTCTCAAATTTACATTCTGCATCTCTGTCTTTAAAATAAACCTTATGAGTCAGGCACAGTGGCGAACACCTGTAATCCCAGCAGTTTAGGAGGCTAAGGCAGTAGGACCGCAAATTCAAAGCCAGCCTCAGCAATTTAGCAAAGCCCTAAACAACTCAGCAAGACCCTGTCTCAACAAAAAGGACTGGGGATGTGGCTCTGTGGTTAAGCACCCCTGGGTTCAATCCCTGGTACCAAAAAAAAAAAAACTAATGAATATATGCTTTCTCTAACAGAGGATTCAGGAACTGGAAAATTCCTTACGTGAAGCTAAAGAAAGTGCTGTACATAAGGAAAGCAAGATAATAAAGATGCAGAAAGAACTTGAAATGACCAATAACATTATAGCAAAACTTCAAGCCAAAATTAATGAATCAAATAAATGTCTTGACAAAACAAAAGAAAAGATGCAAGCACTTCAGGTAACTTAACCTCATTTTATTAGTAAATGCTATCATTTTACTTTAACTGTTAAATTTGACAAATAATTTGATGCTCTGTTCTCCCAGTCTCACCACAACTTCCTATGACATATATATGTCTGAAGCTCATTATTCAATCTTTAAAAGAAGGAACAACTTAGAAATGAAATGCAAGAGTATCTTTTTATTGTTGTTCTTTTTAGATATACATGACAGTAGAGTGTATTTTGACATATTATACATACATGGAGTATAATTTATTCTAATTAGGATCCCGTTCTTGTGGTTGCACATGGTGTGGAGTTACACTGGCCATTTATTCCTATATGAACATAGGAAACTTATGTCTAATTCATTCCACTGTCTTTCCTATTCCCATCTCCACTCCTTTCCCTTCATTTCCCTTTGTCTGATCCAACAAACTTCTATTCTTTCCTCCTCTGCTTATTGTGTTAGCATCTGCATATCTTTTTTTTTTTAAAGAGAGAGAAATTTTTAATATTTATTTTTTAGTTTTTGGCGGACACAACATCTTTGTATGTGGTGCTGAGGATCGAACCCGGGCCACACGCATGCCAGGCGAGCGCACTACCACTTTAGCCACATCCCCAGCCCAGCATCTGCATATCTGAGAGAACAATTGGCCTTTAGTTTTTCGGGATTGGCTTATTTCACTTAACATGACAGTCTCCAGTTCCATCCATTTGCCAGCAAATGTCAGAATAATTTCATTCTTCCTTATGACTGAGTAATATTCCATTGTGTGTATATGCCACATTTTCTTTATCTATTCGTCTGTTGAAGGGCACCTAAGTTGGTACCACAGTTTAGTTATTGTGAATTGAGCTTCTGTAAACATTGATTTGGCCACATCATTGTAATACACTTTTTTAATCCCTTGGGTATACAATGGTTCCATTCCAAGTGTTTTTAGGAATAGGAGTATATTTTCGTGTAAAATATTGGTTAATTTTGTCATGCTAGAAAAGCAATTTTTTAAGATATGTCAACATTGTTTATACTTGAAAATGTACATTTTTATTTTTCAAAAATAGTGTGCTTCTTATCTAAATATATAACACCATAATAAATGTATAAACACCAGTAGATTAAGTATGTTTTTATTTTTTTCTACTTGCTGTTCTTATTACTGAGACCCACTTGGTGTCCTGTGGGCTAAATCAGGCCAATTTTCTTTGGAAAGAATGGTGGTTTAAATGTTTTTGAACTTCAGTATCCTTGAAGTCATACCTCTATTCATCATTTCCTTATCACTCCCTTTTGTTTTGCTCCAACCACTTTTCATAATTCTTTTCCTCAAGTCTGAAACTGATAGTATAGAAGTGTGTTTCTGCTTCAATGTCTCTTCAGCCCCACTAAAATTAAGAACAAGTCAAAAATGCCTTCTCTTTTCATGGTTAGCATTCTTCTAAAAAGTCTGATCCATTCATTGAGACATGAGCAGATAAACTAGAGAAAAAAGTTTGAGAGTAAATTTTTAATATTACAAATTAAACAATCACATTTTATTTATTCAATAAGTATTTGCTGAGCACCAACTATGTGGCAACAGAGGAGTCCAGAATATAAGTCAAAGAACTTGCTTTCTTGTATGGGGAGACAGAAAATTAATTGATTTTAAAATGTAAATATATGATATAAAAATGGACTGATGTGGCTTAGTGGTTAAGCACCCATGGGTTCAATCCCTGGTACCACAAAATAAAAGGGAACAACTTGAATGTTTGCCAACAGAGAAAACGTTAGATTATAATATACTCTCATACTAGGATACATTAGGTAGGTGGAGGGAAACAGTAAGTTAGACTGTTGGGCTGAGAAGTAGGTAAAGCCCACCACTGCATGCAGAGAGCAGTCTGATGAGTAAAAGGTAACAAGTAGGAAAAAGGTCTGTGAACTGTTTGTTGGTGTTGTGTACCCAAAGACAGAAGCCTATATGCTTTTCTCACAGTGGACAGGAGGGAGAAAAAAAAATTTAAATCCCTGGATTGTTTGTTACAACAAATACATTTTGCTCTTATAAAGGGGAAAAAAATATATAAATATATGATAAAAAGTATAATAGAAAAAGAAATGAGTCAGACAAGGAGTATGTGGGTTCTGGGTAAAGGTGGGCATGTGCAAGCAAAGAGATGATTTTTATAGAGAGAGAGTTAAGAAAAGTCAACAATAAGATGATCTAAAGGAAGTGCTGGGGCAAACTGTGACTAGAGAAGAGTCTTCCAGGCAAAGGAAATAGCAATTGCACAGACCCAGAATCAAATATTCTAGACAGGTTTGAGAAACAAGAAAGTCACTATATTCAGAGTAGAGTGAAGACAGGGGTGGAAAATAAGGCAAGAAGCTGCAGTGAAACAGATCATAAAGGGTCTTGAGGGCCATTGGAGAATTTTGTCAAAAACAGTGTTACGTTCTGACTTAATTTCTTTAAAGACTTCTCTTTGAAAAATAGACTTTAGGGAATGGTGATTTTAATTAATTAGGTACCACTACACTCTTTTTAGAACGGCCAAAATCCAAAACATTGACAAACACCAAATCCCGGCAAGGATGCAGAGCACAGGAGCTCTCACTCGTTGTGGGAATGTGAAGTGATCTAGCCACTTTGAAATACAGTTTGGCAGTTTCTTAGTAATTAAATGTTTTCTTACAATATTGATATCAGTGTTGAGAATCAGGTTCTAGTCCTGTTCCCCCAGTTTTGAAGATTAAACATCTGAGAAACTCCAAGACAAGAGCAAAAAGCTTTATTTAAAGGATAGAACAGGCTAGGGATGTGGCTCAAGCGGTAGCGCGCTTGCCTGGCGTGCGTGCGGCCCGGGTTCGATCCTCAACACCACATACAAACAAAGATGTTGTGTCTGCCGAGAACTAAAAAATAAATATTAAAAATTCTCTCTCTTTCTCTCTCTCCTCTCTCACTCTCTCTTTAAAAAAATAAAAAATAAAAAAAATAAAGGATAGAACAGAGAAAGAGACAGGGGCTCCTCCGCAAAAGAGGAGACCCAAGTTGGTGCCTAAGGGAGTAGGGGTATCCTTGTCCCTTTTATAGATTTTAGATTTCCTTTGTTCTCATGCCCCCTCCTGCTCTCATCCTGCCTGTGGCCAATGACCAAAAACCAGGAAGGAGTTGCCCAGAAAGGCAGGAAGAGAGTCACCCAAGGGCTACTAATTAACACCTCCTTGCAGGTTACCCCTAGAAGCAGGTAACCTGGGCAACAGGATGGAGGAGGGGAAGTGTCCTGAAGATATTAACATTTTATTTCCTCTTGAATCAGCCCCCATCTTCCTGTCCCAGTCTTTCATTATCTACATTGGCTGTCCTTTTGCCCCCCAGCCTCAATATGATCAAGCAGTTGTCCTCCTTGATATTTACTCATTGCACAAAAAGCTATGCATGTGCATTTATAGCAGCTGTATCATCATTGCCCAAACTTAGAAACAATCAAGACCTCTTTTAAGAGGTGAATGGATAAATACATCATAATTATGTTGATACAAAGGAATGTCATTTATCAGATAAAAGAAATGAGCTATGAAGCTATGCAGTCATGAAAAGACATGGGCGACATGCATATTGCTAAGTGAAAGTATCCAATCTGAAAAGGCTGCCTAGTATACAATTTCAAATATGTGACGTTAGAGTTGGTGGGGAGGCATACCAGAATGAACAGGTAGAGCATAGGAAATCTAAGAAATTCTAAAGTAAATACAGACTTTAATTAATTAATAACATATTGGTATCAGTTCATTGGTTGTAACAAATGTACCATACTAATAATGCATGAATGTAATAATAGGAAAGAAGGTATGGGACACTATATACATGGGAACTCTCCATGTTTTCCATTCAATTTTTCTGTATAAAATAGTCTGTTCAATTTTTTTTAAAGATTTACTAATGCACATGAGTATGTATATGTTCTCTGAATGGAAAGCAGATATATTTGTATCACTGATTGAGCTATCTTTCTGTATAAAAATATTCCCAATAATGTTTTGTTGCTTGAATTTGAGTTCCACTTAATGTTTACATTTCTGCTCTAGCATCTTTTGTTTCCTTTTCCTGCTTCATCTTTGTCCGCCCATTTCATTATTTTCAATCTATCTGTTTCATTTTGTACATAGATCACTTTTTTCATTGCAAAATAGTACTTGTTTTAAGACATAAAAATCATATATCTATATATATTAGCTTCAAATATACCTTACATCAAATGTTTAGTTACTATTCAACTAGAATTAATGCCTTTCTTGTTTTTCTTATACTTGAAGTGGTTTGCTATTTTAAAATATGTCTACTAGAATAAAGGCAGCTAACTTTTCTTTAAAACCAGAGATACAGGACTACTGTAATCATTATTTTACTTTTCTTTTTTCCGTAACTATTAGGACCAAGTTGCTTTAGGAGCCAAACCCTATAAAGAAGAAATTGAAGATCTCAAAACAAAGCTGGTGAAAATAGACTTAGAGAAGATGAAAACTGCCAAGGAATTTGAGAAGGAGTATGTTATAGCTTTAATTGAACATGGCTTTAATAGCTTTTCTTTCTAAACTACATAAATATCTTTGTATTAGTTAACTTTTTAAAAAGAAACTTATGAAAATGTTAGTGCTTTAAAAAAAATACAAACCCACAAATTTTTAAATTTACTAAACTGTCATATAAAGTTTTTTATGTTAATGACAGTTCTGATCAATTAACATACTTTTTTGAATGCTTCCTTCTCAATTGGGTATAAACAACTTAAAATGGCCTTTTCATGCTTAGAAGTGAACATTAAGAACTTATACATGTCTCTGTGTGAGTCTCTGTGTGTGCATATATAAGAGTGTATTTTCTTTTCATTTATAGGTACCTAGGACCCCAGAGCATATTCTTTTTATTAATACACACACACACACACACACATACACATACACACACACACACACTTATAAGAGCATGCTTCTATCTATAATAATGAAAAGAACACTAAACAGAGAGTCAGGGAAACTGAATTAGAAGTGCTCACTTATTAATGCATTACCTTAAACAAGCTCTTTAGCCTGTCAGATCCTTGCATTCACAATCAATAAAAGGAGAGGGTTATTATAGGATGTCTTAAGAGGTCTTCTAGATCCTAGCATTCTTCATTCTTCCTAATCTTGAATAAATATCTAATAATCTCTAATTCTGCTCAAAATGTAGCACTCTGTAAGTCTCTGTGCTGCCTAGCTGCCTTCCACTATTAGGTCCTTAATTATTTTTTAAGAAAAAAGCTTTTACTTATAGAATCAAAATACTTTTATAGTTTTTGAGAAAGACAGAAAGTCTTAAAATTTATTATTGCCTATTAATATCTAAACCAACAATTCATAAAATGTCTTTCTACTGGGAAACAATGATCAGAATTTGACCTTTGACTCTTTCACCTTAGACCAGACCTGCAATCAGGCTTTGCTTTCCTGACAGTGTAGAAATGAAACTGCTTTTCTCTTTCTTGCTCTGGTAATTGTACCTTCAAGACCATTCTGTGACTCCATGATAGCATCCCAACTGTTTGTTTTATAGCATCTCCAAATATAACTTGGCTTAATAGCCAATTAATAGCTATCGAGCTTTCAGAAATTTTAGAACTGGTTTCTCAATATTAAGAAAATTGGAGTGTTCCTATAACAAAATACTTGGAATTTGCTGGCATTATAGCCATAAAGGGCATCATATAAAGAGAGATTATGCAGGATGATCTACCACTACTTATGGGTACTACGCTAATATAATGCATCATATTACAAAATTCTTGACAAAGATTCTGTTCATTCTTCCATAGAAAATTAGTTGCTATATTTTTATTATTGTTCTTGTTAGAATTCATTCTACAAAAGCCACTATAGACTATCAAAAAGAAGTGATAAGAGTATTAAGAGAAAATCTGAGAAGAAGTCAACAGGCCCAAGATGCTTCAAGTAAGTAGAAACTACACATATTTTCAGATCTTTCCAATATTATTTCTCAACACACAGACTTTGAAAATGCCTATTATCCATATGACATTCAATAACCTAAGTTAATCAATAATCTCTTTTTAAAATAAATATATATCTTGTAGTATCTCTTTAGATTACTATAGTCAACTGTTTATCCATTATAGATTCTATATGAATTTTACTTTTGCATTATTAGATCTTTACCTATACTGAAGATACCTTTGCTGTTATAAAAGAATGACTTTTATGGTCAAGGTAGAACCACCCTTCCCAATAAAAGCCAAATACATTCCTTAGTACATTTTAAACTGTATGCAACTAATAAATGAGGATTGGTACACAGTAAAAATAAGTAAATATTAACCTATTTGCTCTTAAAAGTAAAAAATATCAAAGTGATATTTACTTGAAAAGCTTTTTAAAATATATCTCAGCTACATTTTAAGATTTAATGGTTAAATTTCTACATATGCACTTCCTAAACTATCTTTTTTTCACATTTTTGTCTAATGTTTTACTTGAGAAGAGAGAATTCTGGCTAGTACTTAGGCAGCTTTATGTAATAGAAAATGCACTGAGCTAAAAATCGGGGGAAGTTCTCTAGACTGACTGCCCTCACTAATGGCCACATGATATCACAGGTCCAGCACCTGACCTTTCTCACCTTATATGCACTTGTTAAGAAGAGCAAACCAAAAGTTGTATGTGAAAGCACATGGAAAATTCTAAATGCCAAGCAAGATATAATATTTTATCATAAAATATAATAATAATAAATGTTGTTATCCACTCAGTGTGTGTTGAAGACATACCTAATGTAGATTAAACTTCCTGAGTGTCTATTGCAATATGCTCTTAGCAACTGTCTAGAAAACTTGACAAGATGAAAATAAAAGTGAAGATTCTTTGTTACAGAAAGGTCAGGATCGTTCCTCCTGATGTGTAGGTGGCTTTCAGGTATGTACAAGTAGAGTGATTCTTACCCTAAGTGCTTAGACCCAGAAACTTTGGGGGTTTGGATTTTTTCAGATTTTGAGATATTTGCATAATATACATAATGATGTAACATGGGGATAGGGCCCAAGTCTAAACATAAATTGATTTATGTTTTCATACACATCTTTAGTACACAGCCTGAAGGTAACTTTTTATGATATTTTTAATGATTTTGTGCAGAAAGCAAAGGCTTTCCCTGCCACCCACATGGATAATATGAATACTAAATAAGCATCTCACAATTTTATGCAATTGAACACAGTTTTACATATATAGTGTGAAATACTGACTAACATGCTTTAATAACATTCTAAGGTATATTTAGTAACAGTTTACGTTGAGTACTTACAATGCCCTGAATGACTGAGGCAGTCCTCATACTTTCTCTGTATTGACAAGCCCTCCAGCTGAGCACTAATTTTGAGCAGCTCTAACTGGAGAGGGTAGCCATTGCTGCAGTTAGGATGAAAGATCTTAGCCATATTTGGTAGAGGTTGATGTCAATTCTAAAGACATTTAGAACTGATGATCAGCCAAGTGTGGTTGGTGCTCACCTGTAATCCCAGCTATTTGAGAAACTAAGACGGGGATCTCAAGTTCAAAGCAGTCTGAGCAACTTAGTAAAATACTATCTTAAAATAAATAAATTAAAAGGCCTAGAGATATCTCTCAGTGATAGAGCCTTGCCTATAGCATGCACAAGGCCCAGTTCAATCCCCAGTATTGCCTTCCTGAAAAAAAAATTAATTTAATTTAAAAATAGAACTGGTGGGGCTGGGGATATGGCTCAAGCGGTAGCGCGCTCACCTGGCATGCGTGCGGCCCGGGTTCGATCCTCAGCACCACATACCAACAAAGATGTTGTGTCCGCCGAGAACTAA